CTCACACCAACTTTATGGCCATAGTGAGAACCAGTATAATTCGACTAAACGGGCATCAAATTCAAATCGGTATTATGGCATATTTTGCTATTGGACAAACTTGGCTAGTGTCCGTTTCATGTAATTAGTGGGTGACTCCTGAAATCACAATTTTTTATGCGTACTATTCGCGAAGGGACCAGGGACCATACAGCGGAACTTTTTTTTGTGATGCTTATTTTGTGACGTACTTGAGGAGTGATTATACCATGAGATCTTATAATTTCATTCAGAATACAAACCTAAATGTTATAATATTGCAGAGCTATAGTAAAGCCGTTCTCGAAGTGTGGGAAGAAAGAACCAGCTCCCACTCGTCGCGCCCCAGTGGTAGATGCTCTTCTAGCGTTTCCAGGAAGCTCTACAGCTCGTCAGCACCGAAGCCTGCACCTCGTCCACCAGGTGCGGCAACACGATCTCGACGGGGCGCACGAGGATTCAATGAAGGCGGTGGCGTTGATGACACGGATATCGGCTTGAAAGGAATGGTTGCGAAGTGACATAAGAAAGGAGAGGTTTTCGGCTGGAGAGTGAATCGGTTGCAACATCACAATTGTCCCTAATCTAGCAACTTAATTTGTGTTTGTTCGCACTATTTTTCTCTGTAGAGCCAGCAACGACGAGCATATTCGTGTTACAAATGCGCAAAAAAAACAAATGTGTGTCGCAAATATAAAATGTGATTTCAGGAAGCACCCAATATTATAGTTGATCGCGTTGCCTTAACGGCCGCGTTACTGCGTAACTCGCACGATGGTTTCTCGATCAACATTCAGCCGACCTCAAAATGTAAGCTGAAAGTTGAGCAAAGTAGCATATTTTGGCGTCAGGTTGCTCGTATCTGATACTTAAGGGCAATCGGTCTTTGATCGCGAACTCTCGCAGGATTGCTAGTCACGCATTTTCTCTGCGTGTAGAAGTCTAATCTGCTTGGACTCGCGAGGACATCTGCCGTCCATCCGGGGGGAGAATTTCGTGAGCCAAAGGAGAAGAGTGACTACTCTGTTGCTTCTAAAGGTTAGTTCATCATATTAATAACGTCACCGAATTAAAACAGTATAAACTAACCAGGAAGGCAGCCTAAAAGCAGATTATCAATCTC